GAGAGAGAAGGGACTGGGAGGGCAGCTCCCCCTGGGCCATTTAAGGACTTTGCCTTTTACTATGGATGAGATGAAAACATACCAGCAGGTTTGGAGGAGAGGGGCAGTGGCTGCCGCCTGGACCACAGACTGCAGCGGGGAGCCAGAGAGGGGGCAGGGAGATAGGTGGGACGGTGGCCTGGCTAGGGTGGTCGTGGTAGAGGTGGGAGAAGTGGTGGGATTCTGAACAATTTTTTGGAGGTAGAGTAGACAGGATTTACTGTCCACTCACAGGAAATCAGTTTGGCCTGGAAAGCAGGTGTTATCAAATTCTCCTTTTATAGGAGAGAAAATCAAACCTTGGAGAGATTGAGTGACTTGCACCATGTCACATGGTTGCTAAGTCGTGTCCCTTGGCAGGCAGGAAGGCTGTGGGGTCTGTCTGAGGCTGACTGGTAACGGGGTGTGTGTGGTCTGCTTGTGGGTGTGTCTACAATGTGCCTTTTTCTGGGTCTTCTTGTTTGTCACCCATCTCCACCTGTCTCGCCCCACCCCCTTCCATCCTCTGTTCTCCTTATGCTCTGCAGGCACATCTCCATCTTCTCCCAGGCCCGTTTCCAAGGGGCCTACGTGCTTCTGGTGCCCCCGAGAACCCATCTACGTCTACGACAGCGTGTAAGTACATGTGTGCCCTTTGTCATGATGGCATGCCTTACGTGAGTGTGAATGTCCCTAATGCAGGGGTGTCTGAGTGTTACTTTGGCTGTGTGTGAGATGTATGTGCATATCCCTGCCTGTGAGAACCTACATGTGTGGGGGCTTCAGGGACTGAGTGTGTATGTGTGTGCAAATGTGTGCGTGCACGGAGATGTCCCTCTCCTCTCTACCCATTCAGATTAGCTCCCATCCTAGGGGCCCAGGTCAAGCCTCCCCCCTTGTTTCTACTTCCTCATTTCCCACCTCCCTGTCTGTCACAACTGGACACTGGGCTGGCCCCCATCCTTTGGTGGTGGTCTGGCTGGTTTAGGGGGACCCTATCTCCTAGAATGCCAGCTCCCACAAACTGCAGGGCAGGGTGGACGTGCATGCACACCCTTGCCCCGGTCAACCATCAGCTAGATCTCCTCAGGTCCGCTGGCCCCTCCCAACTTCCTTGGTGGTTGCTTTAATGGGGGGAGTGGCACTGACCTCAGAAGGGTCTGGCAGGCAGGTCTGGTGGCCTCCAGCAGGCAGAGGGAGGTGGGGCAGAGAGTGGTTGCACCCCAAGCCTTCCTTCCTTCCTGTGGGCGGCCAGGTGACCCTCCAGGAGCAGGATGGAACTCCACACTGCACTGTCTCAGTGAGCTCCCAGGGGCTGGCTTGTCGGGGCCCTGGGACCCCAGAGACTTGCCCCCCTCAGGGAGGCCTATGGGCCCCAGGGCAGCCTGGTCCCATCCTTTGCTTCCTCCCCTCACCCCCCTTTAGGGCTCCCCAGGCCTAGGGCCTCCTCCCTGAGCTCAGGCCCCAGAGCAGTCATATGCTCCCTCTGGTCTAAACCCCTTTTCCCTCTCTGTCCCCTTCTTCCCATGACATCGGTTCCACTGAGAGCCCTTTGGCCTCTTCTATGGGTACCAGAGGGTCCTTTTTCTTTAACCCACTGGAAATCAGGCCTTTGCTTTTAGCAAGGTGAGCAGATGCCAGGAAGTGTGGGGCCAATTCAGTCCATCCCCCAGGCCAGGCTGCACTTCCTTCAGTCCTGGCCAGGCACTCTCCTGCCTCAGGGCCTCTGTTCTAGTCATTTCCTCTGTCTGGAATGTTCTCCCTGCTTGGACCCTCCCTCTCCAGGCGTTTGTTGAAATGTCACCTTCTCAATGGGGCCTACCTGGACCACTCAATTCAACACTGTGACCTGTGTGCACGTGCACACACGCCCTCACAGTCACCTCCCAGCCCTGCTCTGGCTCCTCTTTTTCCCCAGCAGCCATTGCCTACTTACATGCTGCAGAGTTGATTCATTCTAGCTGTTGTGTCTCCCCAACAAGAGTGTTGGACCCATGAGGGCAGGAACCTTAGTTTTGTTCACCGATTTCCCAAGTGCCTGGAGCTGTGTGGGGCCACTTTAGATGCTCCGCAGACGTTGGGACTGTTGCTGAGAGAAGACAGAACCTGAGGCAGGAATGGCTGCTCCCCTGAGGGGCTGGGGAGGGGTGGTGGCTGGACCTCTGGGCTTGTGGCCAGAGGGGTTGGACTCTGTGCCCCACCACCTGGGAGACATCCAGCTTCCTTCCACCCCACCTGCCCTCTTCCCCGGGGGGTGGGTGAGGGCGGGAACCACATCCCCCAGGCTGGCCCTGCACACACATGTTGACATGCACCTGCGCACCCTGCATCCGGGGCCCCACCTCCCACCCAGCCCCGGTACACGTGCCGCTGACGTGGCTGTGGTTTCGAGGCTCCAGAGGTGCAGATTAGAGTCAGAGTGTCCTGTTCTCTGCGACCACAGCAGCAGGTGGGGGTGGGGGACAGCCTCCCCTGCAAACGAGCATATGCAGAGGCCGCTTTTCCTTCCCTTCTTGCACACGCACACACACGCACGTGCACACAGACAGATGGACAGCAAGGTGGCCCTACTGGGCTGGCTGCTCTTAGGCTTTAGTACCAGAGCTGTGCACCCATCTGTACCAGGACCCCTGCAGGCGGGGAGAGGTGGCAGAGGAAGCGGCTAGGTGCTCCCTTCCCGGTGTCTGAACTTCCACCGTTCATGCTTCATGCCCGGTGCACGGCCACCCAGCCTCGTTTGTCAGCTCTTTCCTTTGGGGGGAGCACTGCCCTCCTTCTCCTTCTCCTGTCAAAACCATATCCCCATAGGATGGGTCCCGCATTCAGCCCTCAGTGGGGTAGAGCCCGTGTACCCGTGGTCCATCACGCAAATGCTGGTTGGCGGGTACCTGCCGTGGCTCCCTAGCGCCTGCCAGGTCCAGCACAACCCCCTGGCCTGGCACCTTCTCTGCTCCAGGACACCCGGCTTTGAGGGGAGGTGAGGGTGGCTTCTGGAACTTCGCAGCCTGGGTTGACTGTCGGCTCTGTATGACCTTAGGCAAGTCACTTAACCTCTCTGTGCCCCAGTTTCCTCCTTCCCAGAGATGTGAGGATTAAATAGGTTCATATATGCAACGCTCGGAGCAGAGCACCTGCTGTGTGGGAAAGTTGTCAATAAATGTTAGCTGTCACTATTATTGTTTCCTGCCCCAGGGCCAGGAGGGGCCTGAGAAACGGGCTTCATCAGGGCTGGCAGCCCAGCTCTGGCCTCCCGGACTGAGCCAGCAGCTTCCAGGCCACCTGGGAGCTCGCTGGAGACTCAGAGTGCCACCCTGGGGACCCTAATGCAGCAGGTGGGGGGCGGAGGCTGGGGGAGGCCTCACACCTTGGCCTGCAACCATCTGTGGGACAGACATCCCCCTAATGCCCCATCCCAGCCCCAGGCTGCTGCACCCACCTCCTCTTGCCTCTGCCTCTCCCAGTGCCCTCTGCCTTGCAAGGCTCCTCTCAGGCCGTCTCCTGCAAGAACGCGGGTCAACCCTGCTGCCTGAGTGCCCAGAGCCCTACTTCCTGGGGCCTCAGTGTCCTCAACTAGCAAAGGGATAAGAACTCCCACATCATCAGATGCACGTCGAGTGAGGTCGTGGCCGAACAGTGCGCGGCCGAGGCGGCCGGCAGCGCCGACTATTGTTACCGCTTGCACCCCACGCCTGGCGGCTGCGGCTTGCTGTTCTGGGGCTCCCGGAGGGTCGAGGAGCCCAGACACACAGGGGGCCTCGGGAAAGACCTGTTGACCTGGCTGGGCCAGCATGAACTTTCACCTCTCCATCTAGGGCTCTGGGAGTTGAGAAGGGGGCACAGTGACTGGAGCTGAGTGTGGAAGCGCTCCCCCAAAACAGCCTGAAGGAAGGGGGAAGGAAGAAGATGAGCGGAGCACACCCCGGTCCGCAGAGGAAGTTGAAAGCAAGGCGGTGGGGCCACGGCTCCCCGGCCTGCGCCGCCGCTCCCCGCCCCACCCTCACCTCTGACGTCACTGCGGAGTGCGCAAGCCCGCACGCCCTCCTCCCCCGCCTGGGTCTGTGAGGCAGGGTCCCCGCCCCGAGGCCCCCGCGCTGTTCTCTGCACAACCAGGCAGCCAGCAGAGCTTCCTGTCCTTAGGTCGGCACTGCTCTCTCCAGGCTCCTTTGATGCAAGGCAACGGGTTAACAGCACCTCTTCCCCCCACCCTCATCACCTCACCTCTCCCAGGTGTGATCCTAGATCTCTATTAAGCACCTACTATACACCAGGTGGTTTTATATCCACAAGCTCATTGAATCCTTCACAACACCCTGAGGTAGGCATTTTATATAAGGAACCAGCTCAGAGAGGTCAAGTAACCTGCCTGAGATCACACAGCTTGTAGGTGGCTGAGCTGGCCTTCCAACCCAGGCTCCTGTCATGAAGTTCCTCATGCCTACAGGTGAGTGAATTCATGCTGGAGGAGCCCTGGGAGAGCCAGTGCGACCGGGCCTCTTGTTTGTCAAGGAGGAAATGGACACCCAGCGCCGGGAAGCGAGTGCCCCAGGCCACGCCACAGGCTCCTGGCAGACCCAGGCAGGATTAGAGAAACTTCTTTTGGCGTGGGAGGCCTGGCAGGAGGGGATCTGCCGGGAAGGCTCCTTCCCTCACTGCCTCCAGGTCTCCGCTCAGGCCACCTCCTCAGAGAGAAACCTTTCTGGAAAGTCCTAGCTGAAGCAAGGCCCTATCACCCTCCTCCTCCTGGCCTGGCTTTATTTTTCTTCATGGCACTTATGTCACTTGCAGTTTTATATATCAGATTATTTACTTATTGTGCCCCCCCCCCGGGGGGGGATGTGAGCTCCGTGAGCTCAGGGAGGGTCTGTCTTGTTCCCTTGCCTAGAATAGTACCTGGCACAAACTCAACAATGTTTTGTGGAATGAATGAATGAATAAAAGGAGTCTGGTGGTAGAGGAAGAAGCTTATGCTAATGGGAGAAAGTCTGGTGTGAAGACAAATTTATGAAGGACCAGCTAAATAGATAATTCTAGGCAGAGGAGTGGGACGTAATTTAGAAATGAGAAGGGGCAGGGCCACCCAGCACAGCCATGCGGTCTGGCACATACATTGTAAAGTGAATGGTGCCCCCTCCAGTTGTACAGTTCTCAACTTGGATGACAGTACGTGGCGCCCCTGGGGCTGGGGAAGAACACGACAGTTTTGGCCCCCTCAGCCGGCCCAAGGGAGAGGGAGCGATGAGTGGAGGGAACTCTACAGGTGCTGCTGCAAGAGGAACAGGCTGTTCCCTCCATGAGGACACCACGTGGTCGCGGTTAGCAGTTTGCCATCCGGTGGTGTTGTTTCCACAGACAGTCGTCCAACCAGGGGGAGCAACTGTTCTGCTGTTAGCAATCTCTGGTACCTGGAGCGCCCAGCGGGACACGGGTGGGGAAACCACCCTGCCATGCCCCACAAACACACACCAAACACTGTGGACAAAGATAATCACAGCAGCGGAGGGAGGGCTGTTTCCTGAGCTGGCGGCGAGCTCGGAGGCGGAGGACACTGTGTTCTGAGACCTCTCCACTGAGCAGAGGACTGGGTGAGGAACCTGTCCCGGCCCCCCCTCCTTCCCCGTCCCACAGTCTGGGCACAACAACAAGCACCCTGTGATGTGGGTCCCGTCTCGATGAGTCACCTTGCCCGCAGGTGGCCTTGCTGGGCAGCGTTATCAGCTCCTCTGCTTACTTAATTTCTTGGTTGACATCACCACCGCCTCTGTCTTCTTCTCGGCACTGCGGCCCCTGGCCTGGCACATCCTGCAGGGAAAGGCAGTGGAGGGCTCTCTCTTGCCAGAAGCTACCAGGGCAGGTAAATTGGGACCCTCAGTTACTTGGCCTTTAGCCTCAAGGTGCGTGGCCTAGTTTCTTGCTTTGTTGCACTGGGGCCTCAGTTTACTTCCCAGGAAGTGCTGTCTGGAGTCAAGTCCTGAGAGACACTTTCCACCCCTGCCCCCTACTTATTCCCTCTCTCTTTGTTCAGATGTGTGCCAAGCTGCTCGCCCTTCAGTGTGTCCCGCTGTAGGCTTGGGGTGCAGACCCCGAGTCCAGCCCTCTGCTGGCTCAGACATCTGTTCTTCAGTTCTGTCTGGTGCAGGCCTAGCTGGGTCCAGCCTCTCCATCCAGCCCCTCTGCTCTGGGACGCAGCTCTCTCAGGTGCCCTAACTCTTTCCTCTGCCTTCGTCGGCCTGGGCAGCCTCCTCAGAGCCCAAGCCAGTCCTTCTCCTCTGTGGCCAGCGTTCCCTCTCACCCCCCTCACCTTGTCACCCTTCTCAATGCTGACCTGTGGTCAGTGCCACATGGAAGGTGCCATGGGGTCAGTAGAGTGGTGACAGAGGTGACCAGAGACATGTGCTGTTCCATTTCAGCCTCACCCTGGTCTCCTCCTCTGAGGCCGGGCGGGACGAGAGGGGAGGGTTTAGTTCCTCTCCCCACACTGTCCTGCTCTGCCTTCTCCCCACCACTTGAGATGGATAGCAGAAGGGGCGAGGCCGAGAGGCCACAGAGAAAGGCTCAGCTCAGGCCGCTGGGGCTGGACCTCAGTCCATGGTGGGAGGCCGCCCGAGCTCGAGCTCGGCAGGTGTGGGAGGTGGTGGGGGGAAGTGGGTGGGGCTGGGCAGGGAGAAGAGCCAACCCTTTGAACTGCCCCAACAGCATCCTCCATGGCCCCAGGAGACAGTTCCTCAAATGTCACTGCCTGGGGCCAGGGAAGGGGGTGGGGGAGATTTCTCAACACCAGTCGCTTTAACTCTAGTTATTTGACCAAAATGAATTGTTCTTAGAAGGAAAAAGGAAAAAACAAACAGAAAAACCAAAAAACCCACCAATGAGGTCACTCCTGTGACCCTGCAAGCTGGTGAGCAGATCCTGAGAGCAGATAGCACACCTGGGCCAGGGCTGGTTCTCCTCCACCACTGTCCCTGAGAGGAAGCCATCAGAGCTCTGTCCCGACACTGCACCCACCTCGACCCCGACCCCACCAAGAGAGCAGTGCCAGGCAGACCTGGGTGGTATTCTGTCTTGCCCCTTTCCTGCTGGGGAACTCAGACAAGTTACTTTATCTCTCGGAGCTTTCCTGTTTTTATCTATCGAATGGGGTGATACCATTACCTGCTCCCCAGGATGGGTAATTGAGTCAGTCAAGTGCTTGGCACAGAGCCGGGCACACCAGGAAGTGTAGCGAATGGCACCCATGGTTTCCACTGTTGTTGTTAATTACTAGGACCTGGGAGAAAGTGCAGACGACTCAGCACAGCGGGCACCTCGGCCCCCCTCTCCTCCCTGGAGCTCTCTAGCACAGCCCCTCTGTCCCCTCTGCCCTTTGTTCAGACCCCCGACTTGGTCCCCTTTCTGGCTGTCTGCTCTCTCCCTCAGACAATGGCTTGAGCAAGCCTGCCTTGTCCCCTTTCACCAGCCTTCCTCCCAGGACCCGGTGCTGTCCACAGGGGCTGGGATGCCCAGTGTCAGAATTGTTCTCAGCCTGGGGCCATCTGGGCTGCCATGCTAGGCTCCCTTACAGCAACTGCAGTGGTTTGCTCGTCGAGGCCCCAAAATTTGCCCCCAACCACGCTGGGAGTGAGATGCTGAACTGGTACCCTTGCAAACCTGGGTCTACTGGCTCCAATGCCAAGACTCCATCCATTCTGCCCTGCTGCTATCCCTTCCAGTCTTTTCGGCATTTATATGGCTCAGTTTCCTCATCTGCAAAATGGGCATAATAATTCCTGCCCCTTCTTCCTCTTTCAGAGGAGGGGAGGAGAATGGGGTAGGCTGGGACGTTGGGAGGAAGTAGAGCCCCTGCTGTGTCCAAGGCAGGCGAACCTGGCTGGGGTGGGGGATGTAACAGGATATACTGGAGTCGGGTCTAGTCTCCACCCTTCCAGCTGTCCAAACCCTGTGCCTGAGCCCACAGCGCCCCCTGCTGATGAGTCAGTCCAGAAGCTCCCTGTGGGCAGCACCAGCCCCACACTTTGCATTTCCCTAGGGTGATCCCCGGGAAGGTGTCGCCTCTGCCCTCAGTGAGTCCAGTCTGAGGGTGGACGTGCACCCATGGCTCAGAAAGCCCAGACTGGGAGTGGGGAGCCAGTGCTTCTGTCTGGGAAGGGACCTTCCTAGGCCAAGAAGTTCACCTTTCTCCTCGCATGAACCCGCTGAATTCTCTTCCAAAGAGAGAGAGGTCTGCAGCCTGGCAGGAAGCCGGGAGACCTGCTCCTGGCCCAGCAGCTACCCCTTGATTAGAGCTACCTCCCACTGGCCCCCGGCCCCATCCCCCATGGACTGTGGGGGAGACATTAGGTGAGGGCGGACCCTGAGAAATCAGGGCGAGGGGCTGGTCGGGTCCCTTCCTTGCCCTCTGGCTGGGTCCCCTCATCAGCACCCTCACCATCCAGTGATGGTCCTCCCAACCCTCCAGAGCCCAGGCCTGCCTTCCTCCTCGTCAGACCTTTTCTCCACATCACCAGCAGCTTTTTCATCTCAGCATTTCCTTAGCCTGATTCTGCGTTGGGTGCTGGGAATTCAGGGAGAAACAAGCCTCTACCTGCCCCCTAGGAGCTCAGACATGCCACAATTCCCCCATCTCCCCCTCCCCACTCATCCCTAACATCTTCCCTGCTCTGGGCTCCAGGACCTGCCCTGGAGGAAGACAGCCGTAACACACTGCAGGTTAAAATCCAGCCAGCTGCCGTCACCCTCCTGCCCCCTCCCTGGAAAGTCTCCACTCATCCCCACCCTGGAACCTGCTCATTGTCTTTGAGATTTTCCTCTTAAACTGAATCCTTCCCAGACTGCCTGTATAAGGCCCAGATCACATTCTTCCTCCTTCAGGAAGCCTTCCTGGATGGATCCCAGCCTCAATGATTTCCCCGACTTCAGCCTGTTACAGGATCTCCTGGCACACACTGCTTTGTCCTGGGTACCTTTATTATCCTATCTGCCCCATAGGAGCTCCAGGCCTCAGGAGGGAATACCTATGTCACCTTCCCTGTACCTTTGGCAAGACACAAGGGACAGTCCATACATGCTCCTTTAAGCCCACTTAAATCAGTGGTTCTCAACTTGGCATGGTTTTGCTCCCGGGGGACATTTGGCAATGTCTAGAGATAGTTTTGTGGTTTGTTTGTTTGTTTGTTTGTTTGTTTGTTTTGGTGAGGAAGATTAGCCCTGAGCTAACATCTGTTGCCAATCCTCCTCTTTTTGCTGAGGAAGATTGGCCCTGGGCTAACATCCATGCCCATCTTCCTCTACTTTATATGTGGGACGCCTGCCACAGCATGGCTTGATAAGCAGTGAGTAAGTCCGCACCTGGGATCCAAACCTGTGAACCCTGGGCTGCTGAAGCGGAGCATGGGAACTTAACCATTACGCCACTGGGCCAGCCCCTGGAGATAATTTTGGTTGTCACTACAGGGAGGTGGGTGCTACTGTCATCTAGTGGGTAGAGACCAGGAATGCTGTTAGCCGTCCTACAATGCACAGAACAGCCCCCACAACAAAGAAATATCCAGCCCCAAATGTTAACAGTGTTGAGGCTGAGAAACCCTGATTTAAATGAATCCACAGATTGGGTATAAAATAGTGGGCGAGAAGGGGGCAGTGGCTCATGCAGGAGAATGAGATGGAGCAGGCGTCTCAGAGCAGACACCAGCCTGCCCTCCACGTGGCCTTCAACTCCCGCGTGTCCCTCACACCTCTTTCTGGGCCGGTCATGTCTTGTGTGCATGGAGGCTGACCTGAGCCAGAGGAGAAGGAGCCAGGGCCTGCCTAGAGAGTCCGTGGGGAAGTGGGATCTGTGTAGGGAACCCTTTGGGAGCAGGGGGTGGCTTGGCCTCAGTTAAGTCATCTGTGAAATGGGGATGGGTGGCCCCTTCCAGTCCTAATGGTCAAAGGTTCTGAACTGTGTCTCTCGGATGTGCACAGTCATTTTCCCCTCTGCTGATGGGCAGCAGCCCTCCTGAAGGGCTGAGGGTAGAGTACCAGCCCCCAGCCCCTTAAACAGATGTGAGGGTTATTGTGGCTCCAGTGGCCCTCCCGGGAAACAGCTGTAAGGACAAGAATGCTTTGATAGGCTTCATCAAAGCTGCTTCCATGTCCCCTGGGGACTGACGGGGTGGGGGGCACAGAGAGCCTCCAGCTGGGAACAGCTGTTAGCCAGGCCCCAGTGCAGGGTTGGAGGCTGTGAAGGGTGCCCCCCTCCTTTAGTTGGGGTTAAGAATGTCCCAGAGGCTGGTCTCCCTGAGACAGCCCTCTCTAGCGGCTCCTCAGGGTCCTCCTCTGCACCCTCCCTGGGTGGGCTTGGAGACCAGGGCTCTTGGTAGCTGAGCAGAGGCAGATCTCTCCTCTTATGAGGAGCTCTTTTATTGTGAGGGGCCTGGGCCCGATTCCCTGGGGCAGAGATCCACAAGGAGGGTGAGGGAAGTCAGCCCTCCCAGCCCCCTTCACCCCGGAGGATCCCTGGGTCTCTGGTTAGCGAGGGGACCCCGAGCTCACAGACGTGCCTCACCCAGGGGCCGGACCTGTCCATGTGGCCTTGTGGGTAAGGCTGTGTTTGGGAGTTAGACAGCCCTGGGGCCAGATGCTGGACTCTCTCCCGAGGCATTCATTGAACATCTCTGAGCCTCAGTTTCCTCATCTGTAATGGGCATAATGACAGTTCCTGCCTTATACATTGTTGGGAGGGTTGAATGAGGTGATGTATGTAAAGCACTTAGCACAGTTCCTGGGGCACAGCTGGCGCTCAATAAATGCTGACGGTTGTGGTTGTTGTCGTCTTCATGGTCATCATCATCGTCATCTTCACCATTTGGGGTAACATCTTCCGGAATCCAACTTCTAAGTACTCTATTGCTTTAGCTTGGTGTGAAAAACAAAGCTCTTTGGGAACACCTTCAGGTTTTTTTAGCAGCTTGAGGGGTGCAGTTGGGAGAAGCTTTAGCCCCAGAAATGCCGTGGACATTTGGGGTTCAGGATGAGAACCCAGATGAGGCGTGGCTGGGGACATGGGTGATAGTGGCCACCTTCAGTGAGTGTATGATTTGTGCTCAGTTTGTGTGTGTGTGTGTGTGGCATGTGTCTGGGTGGGGTGTGTGTGCTGGGTGGGTGCTCAGTGGGCACTTTTCCCGTCCTGTGCGTGTGAGGGCTTCTCTGTGTGTCTGGGTTTATCTGCCTCCCTCTCTCCTAAGTAAATGGGTCTATGTGACTCTCTGCTTTTGCTGTTGTGTGCTTTTTTTGTGGGTGGCTGGTTGTTGGGTCCTTTCCAATGGTGTCCTTGTAGGTTTGATTTGTGGGAGCTGCCGTTGAGTGAGGGGCTCCAGGCTGAGGTGAGCAGAGGGGGCCCAGGCTGCTGCCTAAAGACGGCTGGGTTTGGAAGCCAGGCTGGGTTTGGAAAGGTCCCTCATGAGAGCAGAGGTT